GAAGAAATAGTGTTTCATTTATACTTGTATTCCCCAGGGACTAGCTCACAGCCAGGGAACAGCTCAATCAACATCTAACTAACATATAAAATGTGAAGACCAGCCTACACTGATCTAAACAAGTATGTTCATATTCTTCATAAACATGGCTCCTTTGAACCACAATGAAATAAGGAAAGCGTCAGTCCAAGGAATCATTTCTGGGAGCACTGAGGGGCATTGCGACCTATGCATTTCCCTCCTCTTGGAGTGTGACACCCAACATGCAGCACTTCGGAGAGGAATCACAGGGATGTGGTTTAAAGTTAGAACCCACCCAGCAGTCGCACTGGGGACTCCACCCAGAATCTGGGGGCTTAGCGCAGAGGGAAGGGACGAGACTGGGCACATACCCTCATGCCCATGTAAAAGGGGATGACAGTGACACGGATGTTCTCGGTTGTTTCCCGATGGACATCTGAAAGCTCCAGCCAGGGGTGATTCTTCTCCTGCCAGGCCCGTAATGTTTCCCGAGCCACGAAAGGAGGTGCTAGGGCAATAGACAACTGGTCAGTCCAGGCCAAAGTCCAGGGTGTTACACCCAGGCTCTTCCTGTGGGGCGCTCTCCAACTGCCCCTTCTGGGAAATCCTTTCCAGAGGTGGCCCAGGCTAACAGGACACCCAGGCATGAAGCAAAAGCACAGCCAGGAAGGCAGCACAGAGCTGCCCACCAAGAATAAGGCCTGAGGAGGTGGTAAGATTTCATGGGAAGGGAACTGGACTAAGAAGTTAGGAGCCCTGGTTTTTAGAATTCACTCTATGACTAACTAGCAAGCTTTGGTCATTTATCATCATCCCCAAACTTCAGTTTCCATATCAGAAAAAAGAGATAACAGCCATCTACTTGACAGGTCAGATAGGAGGCTTGACAATAGTTGTGGAAATAGAACTCTGGAATTACTTCTATGATACTCTCTTTGAAAAATGGACCTGCCCATTCCAGATTCTCTCCTTGAAAGAGATTACCTTTTGTTTGATCATACAGAAGAAATCTTTCAAAGAGCTCATGTTGGATGGGAACCTGATCAGTGGAGGTGTAGGGAAGGATGTCTTCATGGCTAACATAGTCCAGGCCTGGCAGAGAGAGGCAAAGAGACCACAAACTCATAGAGTAGAGAACAGAGCTGAGAAGAAACAAACAATTCCTGGTCTTGTCCCAGGATAAGACAATCCTGGTAAGACTCCTCTCAGACGATCCCTCCCAGCAGATGAAAGGATATCAGAAATCCACCAGATCCCTCATCAACAGACACCACTCAGATGCTCACCACTCACCTGGGATGGCATAGAGGGCCCGGCTGTCATCATGGTTAGCCAGGAAGGTCACAGCTTCTGTCTGAGATCTCTGAGACTAAGGCAAGAAGTAAATCAGGGGCTTTCTGGCCACTTTCCAGCCCCAAGGGCTGATCTGGGATATGTCTGACCCTTATCCCTCCATTCATCCCCACTAGGGTTCAGGTCTTTCCCCTAGAAAGGAATGCCAGACCCAGCTTACTTACTATATGTGGACAGTCTCGGGCATCAATCAACACCTGATAATAAGTGTGGGTTTTGCCTTTAACCTCTTTGGAGCCATGGCCAGCAGGGTTCTCTGCCCTGTGGGGCAGGAGAAGAAGGCCTAGATCACCTCAAGGGAAAGAGAAGCCATTCCCTACCACTTTCTCACCTAAGCAGGACGTCACCTCATCTGAAGGTACTATAGCACCACCTAGGGACCTGCTCAGCCACACCCCAGCCGCCCAGCCACTCCCCCATCAAGGGCAAACATGTAGCATGGAGGACCCATGGCATAGCCATCATCTGTCTTACTCTCTGGATGCCTCTTGGAAGGGGGTGGGGGAGAACATGTTGAGAAAATCAAATTGCTCCCTCAGCCCCGAGCCCAGAGTACCCTACTCTTGTCACATCTCAAGGGCTTTTCATGATCATTTAATGGAGCTGGACTTCTTTTTAATGTATGCTAGCAATGATATGAGAGTAAGGAAAAGATTCTAACTGATATCAAGAAGACTAGTCCCCCAAACGCAACTGCTCCTGGCACTCAGCACTTCTGTCTCCATGGGTATTGGAGTGCCAGAAAAGTACTCTGAGCCTGGTCCCAAGCGCCAGGAGGATGCTGTCTTCCCCTCTGGGGCCCCAGTTACGCATGCCTGCCACCTCTTCAGGCCATTAGTGAGGCTTCCTCCTGAGGATACTGTGAGGCACAGAGATGAGGAAACTTACTTTTCTGGAGCTGCAGAAACCACATCCCGGTCATACAGTCTGGCCTGCCAGGGAAACAGGACGACACCTCGGTAGCCAAAAACACTATGAAGGAAAAGCTGGAAGAAAAGGGGACCTTGGTGATTCTGCTGTTCATCAAATCCATCCAGGGCCTGGACCACAACGCAGCACAAGTGGAGACAACTCTAGATCAAAGTCTTGCCACTCTCCCCCTTGAACCCTGCAATCCACTCAGACCACTACCCTCCAGTCCTCACTCTGCCTAGAGCACTCTCACCCCCACTTCACCTGGCTGACTCCTATTTATCCTTTAGGTAACAGCTTAGACATCACTTCCTCTAATCGGCCTTCCCTGACCCGACTCTCCTCTACTCGACATGATGTAGAGCCACTGCCCGTTTGTACATCTTTACTCTTTTCTAGACAGGAAACTCCACTAAGGCAGGAACTACGTCAACCTTGTTTTCTGATTTAACTCCAATGAGCCTTGCCCGGTCTGTTGTAGGCATACCAAAAAACAGATAAATAAATGAGTCCTCCTTATCTACAAGGGGCCAACCAGCACAAAGCTGACACAGAAAAAAAAAAGCACCTCAGACCCAGAGCTCACCACACTATAGCCAGTACAGCTAAGACCAAGCATCAAAGTTTTCCTTTCTGAAAGCTCCCTGCACTGGCTTCTCACCATCCACCACACAAGAGGACTCTGCATCAGCTGGGTTCTCTCCTCACTCTAGTCCAAACCAACCCTGGGTACCAAAAGAGAAAGAGAACCCACTGACACACCCGATCCATCTTGAAAGATAAGTGGTTCTGGTCTGGCACCCAACACCAAGGCAGAGAACCAGAACATTCAGGCCTGTGGCCAAATCCAACTCCCTTTAGAAGCTCGGCGCATCATGAAGTTGAAAGATGACCCAGCCCAACACTCACCTGCCCGGTCTCATATTTCCCATTCTGTTTTGGCACCTCAAACACACCGACTGTCTCCAAAACTTTGCCTTCTGGTCGGTTTCTGATTAGGAAGGAAAAGCACAAGCAACTGAAAAGGTGAGATAGTAATGGTATTTAACCATCAGAAAAAGCTACTAGGATATTGCAGGGCTAAAGCAATGACAGCAGAGTTGGAGCAGTAGAGCTGGGTGGAGCAGGCAAGGGTCCTCCCAAACACCGCACAGAGCTTCTGCCTTTCCTCACTAGAGGTCCACCCACAGACCCCTCCATGATCAGACCTCTCCCAGCGCTCAGGGTTGGAACTGCTCCCAGGTTCCTCCCCAATGAAATGTATCCTCTGCCTCCATTTCTTCCCTATCCACCTCCTGTCCCTCCCACCCTGCATTTCAGTTGCATCCATCCCTTGTCTCCATTACAGACCCTTAAGTTCCCTGGGAGCAATGCCTGTGTCTGATTAGCCTAGACTCCCCTCAGTGTCTAGTGTATAAAACGTGCTCAATAAACATTTGTTGTGTGTCATAATCCCATGTCCTTCTCCCACACTAAACTGCAATTCTCATCTTGACCTTGAAGGGCTTCATCATTTCTAGATTTCCTACTGAACATCCTAGTTGCCTCTCCAGGCAGTTTTTCTTCAGGTTTACATCCATTTGCAAAGGGGTCTTAAGTTGCAAAGAGTTACTGTCCCTTCCCAATGTGTTTCAAAAACTGTCATTAAAGTTCAGGGTTCAGTCACTTCTCTGAACAGGACTGCTCTTATAGGGGCCCTTGGAAGCACAATTCTTACTGTTTCAGAGATGTGAACTTTATCCACCCTCTTGATCCTCCAGCCTCAATCTGACATGCCAACTCCATTCCCACAGACCCTGGTCTCACCATCCCCAAGGGCTCAAATCCCCTTCCCCAAGTCACATATAGAGAAAATGCATCTCCCCAATGTCTCACTGAAACCTGCAATCCACACAGGGCCCAGGCCCAAGATACTATTTCCCATCTCTAGCATCTTTCTGAGGCCTTGAGGCATTCCAGGGGTTGGGGTTCATGTCGAAAGCTCTAGAACTGAATTAAAAGGCTGGTCACTAACAACAGTGCTCGGAGACCACCATCACCCCAAGCCGGAGAGGTAATATTCTCTTTGGGAGAGCTGCTTGTTCTCCCTTTGATCTAGTCCCCACACAATCTCTCCAGCTCCTGCACAACCCCGAGCTCAGGGCCACGCTCCCTTCTTTGCTCCTGGTACACGTCCCAGGCGGCGCAGTCGGCGACCGGCGCGGGACCCTCTCACGGGTTGAACTCCAATCACCCTCAGCCGGCCTGGTACAGGCCCGGCCTCCTGGCCTCCTGGCCTCCTGGCCTCCTGGCCTCCTTGACGGGCCGGGAATACCGCTCCCTGGGCTCCAAGCCAGGTCCCTTCGCCCCTTCGCTCCGTCCCTCACCGGGACGAGAGGTGCCTCCATGTCGTTGTGGTTGCCGCTGGCGGGAAGGCCCCAGCTCCACCCGCCGCACAGAGCGGCCTCGGCCCCCGGGCCCCGGTCAGCGACCGGGACCACCAGCGGCTGCCAAAGGCCAGGGCCCTCCGGGCCGCACAGGCCGCCATATCCGGCCCGAGAGCCCGCTCGGATTGCTGACACAAGGCCCTACCCGCGGCCGGGCGGCGTTCCGCCCCCGCCCCACACTGCCCCGCGCTGCACACCGCCCCCGTGGCCCTCTGCCCTGCCTCGCTCCGCCCCGCGAGCTCCGTGGTTCTCCCGGCTCCCGACAGGCGGAAATCCCGGCTGGTGGTCACCTGACTGTAGAGTCTCATAGCAATGGCGTCTTCCTTGGTGGCGGGCGAGCGGTTGGTTCGTGCTTTGAGCGCCGGTGGGGAGCTGGAGCCAGAGAAGCTGCCCCGGAAGCTGCGGGCCAAGCTTGAGGCGGCGCTGGGAAAGAAACATGACAGCCCCCTTGGCCCCCTACGCCTGGTTTCCTTTGGTCTCATCCGGGAACTGCACCAACACCTGCGAGAAAGGGGTAAGCCCCAGTTTCTAGTCCAGGGTGGCCTCTTTGTTTCCAGAGTTTTCTCCCACTTGAGATCGTTTTCCATCGCTCTCTCTCGCCCCCGAGCAGTAATTTCGCCAATAGAGTAACTCATAAACCCTCGGGCTACCCACCCTCTTTACAACTCCCCTGGAATGAGTACGTTTATTTGTGCAGTATGTGCCCTCTGAAACGTCTCCACTATCAGGCATACTGTACAATCATTTGACCCTTAAGGAAGTCCAAGTTCTAATTCGCTATCACCTCACAGTTACAGTTTCTTGTTTTCAGGCCACATTAAGAACCCATTAAGCTTGTCCTGCTTGGATTCTGTGTTTCTTTCCATTTCTAAAGCAAAAGTGATCAATTCTTCGTTATTTTCTAATTACTTTATTATTATTATTATTATTATTATTATTACTTTAGTTCTGGTGAAAAAAGCCATGCAGAAAGATCTGGACTGGGAATAGTATCTGAGTTCTAGTCCTAGCTCTGCCACTAACTTCCCTTGGAAGAGTCATTTCCCTCCCTGGGCCTCATTTTCTTTAACTGTAAAGGGAAGAAATAGAACATACTAGTATCTAAGGTCTTTTGCCAGAATTAACATAGCCTAGCTGGAAACTCAAAGGGTAGTAGACTGCTCAACTACAGGAACTGAAAAAGACTTTGGAAAAAGATAAGCTGGTCTGGTGTCCTGAGTATTTAATATCACTGTGACCTAAACTATTTAGGAGAGATCTAAGTGGCCACAAAAATGACCTAACTCAAAGGCAAATGTAAACAGCTTACATGTTAGTTGTGACATTGGCAGGATAATTGAGAACTGACAGTCAGCAGTGCAACACCAGGTGAGACTTAAGTGGAATTGTGGTAGGTTCTTCCCAAGTGAAAATGATGCTGAAGAAGGACTGATACGGTAACAGCCATGTTTTATTTTGGTAGAAAGAATAGAAGGACTAGATCCTTCTCTGATCTAAATCCTTCAACTTCAGCTCTATGGATCACTATGTTATGGAAACCTTTTTTCCCCAGACTCCAAGCTGTATCTTCATGAGCTCCTGGAAGGCAGTGAAATCTATCTTCCAGAGGTTGTAAAGCCTCCACGGGTATGTAGGGGATACATTTGTGAGAATGGGTATTGTCCGAGTTGAGCTTTTCACCATACTTGAATGTATGACTTTTAAGCTCCAAACGTTGTCTTTTCAGTCCTTGGGAATTTGGGTGGGGAAAAACAGATATTGTCTTCCTTGGTTGACAGCTTGAAGTGAAGGCAGAGCTGACAAATGGCTCTCCTGGCACCCCAGTCCTATGCCCTTTGGAACCAATGATTGTGACGTACTTCGTAGCAAGTTAGAAATTGGTAACTCTTCTCATTTGATTTCTCTGTCCCAGAACCCAGAGTTAGTTGCCCGGTTGGAAAAGATTAAGATACAGCTGGCCAATGAGGAATATAAGCGGATCACCCGTAATGTCACCTGCCAGGTAAGGGTAGCCCTACACTGGGAAGAGGTACAAAGGAAAGAAACATGGAAAGGTGTACACTATTCAGAGATCATAGGTACTTTGTGCTGCATGTATATCAAATATGTTCTCAACTCACTTACTGGAACTCTGAGCTCAAATGGTGACTGATTCCAAATAGTTATAGAGGTGGGCAGGAGCCTTGGAGCCTTCCTTTGACAAGGCTCTCTACTGTTCTCTGGCATGCTCTTGCCCTGGAGCAAGAGAGGGGTAAATGGTTACTGTGAATCTGTGTCTTTTCCCTGAAATGCTTGATCTGTGGTTCAGGGAAGAGACAAACTGGTTGTAGACAAAAGGAATGTATGGAAAAAGCAGAGTTAATGTGTAGAGGAATAGAGCGGGCTTAGCCGGACTGACAGGTGGGTGCTCTTTGGGCTGCCTCTGAGCTTCCATTCTGAAATCATTTGTTTTTCCTTTTTCCCAGGATTCAAGGCATGGTGGGACTCTTAGTGACCTGGGAAAGCAAGGTGAGATGCCAGAAAATCAGGCTACTAAAGCCTCTGCCTGGGATGGATTATGGCATTCCTCCCCACCCCAGTGCTCTGGGTTTAAACTTGATCCATTTATCTCAGGCTAGGTTCTCTAGAGGAACAAAACCAGTGCAGCATATGTATAAATATATAGAGGGAGATTTATGTCTAAGAAATGGCTCACACAGTTGGTAGAGACTGCAAAGTCTCCAATCCATGGATCTACAGTAGACTGGAGGCTTTTCCTGATTCGTGTGGTAGCAGGGGCTAATGAACCCAAAATCTGCAGGTTAGGCAGCAGGTTGCTGGCCCTTGTTGCAAGAACTGGAGGTCAGAGAATAATAAGGCAAATGCAGGCACAAGAAAGAGAAAGAGCATTTGCTAGGACATCCATATATATTGGATGCAGGCCACACCACCAAGGAAACTCCCCTTTCACCTGATTGGCTGCTCACATCAAATCACAAAATGGAGGATGATTACATAATATCTGCCAAACCACTGGGAAGCAACATAGCCAAGTTGATATGTAACCTTAACCATCACACTATTCATGCTTACTCTTTGAGGGGAACCCACCTAATAGGGGAGGCAGCCATGAGATCAGAGGGGCTTCTGGGGGATGTTGACTTAAAGGTTTCTTCTCTGGGCTTCTCCTCAAGTGAGATCAGTGAAGGCTCTAGTCATCACCATCTTCAACTTCATTGTCACAGTGGCAGCTGCCTTTGTCTGCACTTACCTTGGAAGCCAGTACATCTTCACAGAAATGGCCTCAGTGAGTAAACACTGGGCAGGACAGGGGACCCAGAAGGGGTTGTTAATGGAAAAAGGAGGGTGTGTGCCTTGCACAGATCAAAACTTGAATGGATATTCAGTGCAATAAACATTTGAGCTTCCTAGCAGTGAGCTCTGGTAGCCTACTGCCTAAGGCACTTGACTGCTAACCAGAAGGCTGGCAGTTCAAACCCACCAGCCACTCCTTGGAAGGAAGATGGGGCAATCTACTTCCGTAGTGATACTGCCTCGGAAACCCATGGAGGGGTTGCTATGAGTCAAGTCCCATTCAACAGCACATAACAACAGCAGTGAGATGAATAATAAGCAAGATCTTCTCCTCTTTTCCCAATCCTAGGGCTGGGTTGGGGTGTTGTCCATCCTTGATAAAGATGGGGGGATGCCAAGTTGAGTGCTAGCCTGCATCCCATAAGCCTGGTCTTCTCCCTCCCCAGCGGGTGCTGGCTGCATTGATCGTCGCCTCTGTGGTGGGTCTGGCCGAGCTGTATGTCATGGTACGGGCGATGGAAGGCGAGTTGGGAGAGCTGTAACTAGTGCTTCATCTTCAAAGTCTGGAAGAGGTTTTAAGGGGCTTTGGGCTCCCAGTTGCCTGTCACTGACTCCATCAGGCTTTGTTCAAAGTCACAGGGTCGGGCCACCTGCTATTCCTGTGGAGAACCCTGTCCTCCTTGAACTTCCAGAGGGAGAAGTGGAGGAGACTCAAGCAATACATCTTTAAACTCAAAAAACTGGCTTGTCAGTACTGTCTCCTGAATCTGGTGCTCCATCTGCCTTCTCCAGTCTATTCTGAGCACTGCTCAGGCTGTTTTTTTCCATTGGGAGGAAATGGAATCCAGGCCTTCCCAGAAGCAGACCATACTGCCTTGAACTTGCCCAGACCACAAATCAGTTGTCATTCTTTGTACATGTGTCCTTGATGCAGACATGGAATTTAGATCAGTAGGTCCCAAAAAAACAGGAAGGATCTCCTTTCTCCAGTTTGTGCTGGGAAAAAGGTGTAATCAGAGGACATTGAACAGGATGGTGAAACTAAGCAAGGCAGTGTCAGAATCGGAGCTGATCTTCAACCTTCTCTTCCTTTTCCTTGCCTTTGTCTGGTTTTCTATGTGTTATGTCAGTCTCTGCCATTTACCAACCCTCCTTCCCATCATCTTTTGCACTGCCTCCAAAACTGAAAACAGTCCAGATGTCAAAACACAATGTCTGCTGTTTTCTTTTTTAATTTTTATTGTGATTTGGGTAAAATTTTATTAAACAAATTCATTCAGTGTGTCTGCTTTTGATTGCAGAATTCTTTGTGTTTGTGAATGGGAAGATATACCTACTGGGGATTGTCTGAACTAATAAAGAGGGAAGTTCTTTGTAGACTATTTTTTTCTTTGTAAACTATTTATAGGGACTATTTTCATCTTTAACTATATATATGAATGTGATATACATACTGTTATACATAATCTTGATGCAGGATATCTTATGTGGCTTTTTAAACATGTTTGCGTGAATACAAAAAATAATATGTAAATGTTCAGAGTTGACTAATTGTTTTACATGGTTGCCTTTGGTCTTCACAACAGTCCTGAAGGTTGGAAAAAGAAATGATTTAGGTCCCTTTTCCAGAAGACACAACAGGCTGAGAGAGATCAAATGATGGGTTTGTGGTCCTTTGTCTGATAAGTGGAGTCAAGGACTCCTAGGTTGTTCTACAGTCTCTGTAATGTTACACTTCTAAGAACTTACATTAGTGTTGATGGAATCTGTCTAAGGCACTTAAAGGTTATCAACATTACTTATTTATCCAGTAAATATTTATTGTATCCAGTGTATTAGTTCAAATTCTGTGACACATAACACTAAGATTACCATGGTCTCAGAATTGTTCAAGGGCCCCTTTTAATGGTGGTTGTAAATTGCTAAGTCTCTCTGACTTATGGTGACCTCATGACAACAGAACAGAACTTTGCCACCTTCATGATTGTTGGTTTGCTTGAGTCCGTTGCTGTGGCCACTTTGTATTTTGAGCGCCTCCCAACCTAGGGGCCTCATCTTCCATCACTGCATTGGGTAATATTCTGTTGTGAGCCATAGGATTTTCGTTGATATTATTTTTGGAAGTAGATTGCCAGGCCTTTCTTCTTAATCTTAGTCTGGAAACTCCACTGACACCTGTCCATCATGGGTGACCTTACTAATATTTGAAGTAACAGTGACATAGCTTCCATCATCACAGCAACACACAAGCCATCGCAGTAGGACAAACTGACAGATGGGTACTGGCTCCTAATGGTAGACTCTTTCTGTTTGTTCATTGTATGAGTTCTTGTGGTCTTTATTGCCCCTCAAGAGCACATCTACAAATTACACACTGATTGGCTCACCAGATATTTTCTCTACAGTGCTGGCCAGTTTCTTGATAGATAGCGAGTTTGAACCTCTCAGGGCAATGTTCTACGTAGGGGACAGTCTGTTTAAGCCCTTCTATTCCACTATAGATCACTTTCTTGAGAAATCTTAGGGTTTCTGTAGTTTGAAGAAATGTCAGCTTTGAGAATAAAATGTAGGTAGCATTTTACAGTGTTTCTAGTAACCTGAACTATTTCAGATTGAGTTAAACATTGAAGCTTTGTCATGATTGTGCTTTCTTGTATCTGCAGTTTGTGAGCCAAAGTGCCCAGATTTCCTTCAACAGCCACATCCCCCCAGAACCAAAAAACAAACTCACTGCCATCGGGTCAAATCCAACCAGTCCTTGGGTTTCTGAGGCGATATCTCTATGGAAGTGGATTGCCCAGTTTTCCTTCCAGGGAGTGGCTGGTGGGTTTGAATCACCAGCCTTCTGGTTAGCAGTCAATTGCCTTAGGCACTACTCCACCAGAGCTCCCACAGACCCCCAGTGGCCTGGATTTCCCTTGGAAGACTTCCAAATCTTAGATGTAGAACAGACCTCGAATCACTTTTAGCCCCAGGGCATTTTCTCACAGTGAGGTTGTCATCCTATTTCCTGTCCTACCATTTCCCCTGCCTTTTGCTCCCTTCTCCGCACCTTTTATTAGGATGGGGTCTGCAGTGCAGTGAATTACTCAGTATGTCCCTTCTAGCCATGGTCTTTGTGATTCCCACCAGATGACTGGATGAAACTATGGAAGTATGAAGTGCTTATTAATTGTATAGGAGCTCTGGTGGCATAGAGCCTGAGGCATTTGACTGCTAACCAGAAGGTTGGTGGTTCAAACCCACCAGCCACTCTTTGGAGGGAAGATTGGGCAATCTACTTAGTGATACAGCCTCAGAAACCCAGGGAGGGGTCGCTATAAGTCAGATCCAACGCGATGGCAGTGTGTTTCGTTTCATTTAGTTTATTAATAATGTAAATGAGGTGCATGGCACCCTTGTGTGGGTAGCAAAAATAAAAACCAAACTCACTGCAGTCGAGTTGGATCCGACTCATGGTGACCCCTGAGGCAGTATCATTATGGAAGTAGATTGCCCAACCTTCCTTCTGAGGAGTGGCTGGTGGGTTTCAACCACCAGCCTTTTGGTTAGCAGTCAAAGGCCTTAGGCACTATGCCACCAGAACTCCTCTTGTGTGGGTGGGACCATGGAAATAAGGTGTGTGGAACTCTTAACATGGGGACTGGTCAGTTTTGCCATGTACTAGGCTTAAAATGAGCCAACCCGGAGGTGGAAAGGGGAATATCAGCTGCTATCAAGAGAGAAGAGCCAGGAGTGGAGTGCCTTTGGACCCAAAATCCCTGTGCTGAAACTCTTTGACCCGAGGAACAGAGAGCTATAACACTACTGAGATGGTAAGAAGTGATGGCAGAGAAACAGAGGCAGCAGAACCAAGAGACCGGCACAGGACAGCATTGGGCTTTCCAGCCCACAGAGTGAGAAAGCTGAGTGCCTTCGGGCACCTTGCTAGCAGAATGGGGTGCCTCTCTGGGAACCTATTTGCTAAGCTAAAAGAGCTTTGTAACACTTGCCAGAGCAGGGCAGAGGCCAAGGGGCTGCAGGGATGAGAGGCCAAGACTGGAAAAAAAGCATGCCTGTGGCACAGCTGAGAAGAATCTGCCTGGATTAAGTTGTTCCTGATCCTGAATTGTAACCTGGTATTTCCCTAATATACCCCATGATTGTGAGTGTTGTCTGAGTTTTGTGTGGCTATTGCAACAAATTATCAGACCCAGCAGAGAAGTAGAGAGTGCTGTTGAGAGGGATGGTTAGTGTCAGAATTGGAAAATAGGTTGGAGAGTGGCAGCATGTCTGACCTCTGCCTTGTAGGAATCAACCTTGGGCTATTAATGCTGCTGATGATTCTCTCTCCCCTTCGTGAGGTTAGAGGCAGCCAGACTATACTAGCCCCACATCCTTTTTGCAGGGTCTATACCTGATCCCAGACTTCTCCTCCCTCATACTTTGAGGGCAGGACGGCTTATGGCCATAGCTCCGCATGAGGAGCAGGCATCCGTGGCACTGAGCACTTAGTGAGATCACCTTTACATGCCAGGTACTGTGCCACCTTCCGGGAACAGAGAGACAAAAGATCTAGTCCCTGACTAGTGCAGAGGAAAACAGCCTGCTGTGTTAGATGGTTTCTCTGTGCAGGTGCCCAGTCACAAATGGGAACTGAATGGCCTGTTCTCTAGTTCCCATCACAGAGAAGGGAGACATTCTCTGTCTCACCATACCATGGTTTCTGCAATGTGCCCTGGGTCCAGGACTTCCCAGGGGAAGAGGGGAGTGCTTGGCAGGGGGTCAGAGGAACAAGAAGTTTGGGGCCTGCCCAGTTTTTCATGGACTCCTTAATGAAAAGGAAACTAGTGTCAACACTGAGAACTCTAAAAATGTGCCTCGCGGCCTGTGAAGCCCTTTACGTTCATTATCTTGTCTCATTGCCAAACAGAAGACAAGGTTTCTCATGCCTGTTTCTCAGGCTCACAGAGTTTTAGAGACATGCCAAGCTTATGTAGCAGAGCAGCTCTAGAGTGGAGGCAGCTGGAGTGTCACAGAACCAGAGGGCTTGGGAGCAGGTGTGTCAGCCAGAATCCAAGCCCACCATTTAACTTCCCATTTAAACTCAGCAGAAGCCTGGGTAATAGCTCTCCACCCAGGATCTGTGTGGAACTCTGCCCTATTTAGGGATTAGGTGGTGGATATCAATTTCATAAGCAAATGGCTTCCACCCCAGGTGCCCATCCCCATTTGTTTGCAGCACACAACAATCCAGATTAAGATACAGAGTTTTTATTTGGAGATTAGTCCATATTACAGATGACTGATACTAAAACCCTTTGTTGCTGTACCCACATCCACCCTGAATCTGCCAGGTGGTCTCCACCTGTAAAGGGAGGGAGCAGAGGATCCACTTCTGTGCTCAGTCCTAAGGGGCAGGCCTAGGGTGGGCTAGAGGAGCCAGAGAAGGAGTCTTGCAAGCTCTGGGCCTAGATTAGGTCCAGGTTGGTGACAACAGCCAAAGCATAGATGAGGTCAGACAGGCTGCCCAGGGGGGTCTGAGGAATAGCTTGCTCCAAAGAAGGGTGGGCCCCTGAAGCTTCAGCTAGGCCCCATGGGGCTGCAGCTTTAGCCCCTGTCCAGCCCTGTCCAGGACCCCGACTAGGAGCTGGACAGGAGCAGTGTGGACACATTGAGGTGTGCTGTTGGAGGGTAGAGGCTGGTGCAGTGGGCGAGGCTCCCAGGGCTGCTTGAGGGTGTCTGGGAGAGAACAGGAGCTCTATGGGGAGTTCAGGCATGGGGCTTAGACCTTCTGGCTTCAGCATCCTGCCCCCAGGAACAAAGAAGCGGAACCTGGAGGCTGCGTATCCAGAGAGAAGGGGCCGTAGGTCAAGCCCAAAGCTGTCTGTGAGGGGGGTACCCTCGGCTGAGAGGGTCACAGTTCACCTGGATCTTGGCCTCAGGGAGACGGGTGACCCGGGACAAGCACTCACGGGTGCTGATGTCGGGATAGGGCAGTGCTGCAAACACGCATTCCAGCTCCAGCAGCTGCCCTCTGCTGAAAGTGGTCCGCTTCCTCCGGTGGGGACGCAGCCCCCTGGCATGACCTGGAGGTCGATGGCAGTTAAGCTGGGCAGTCAGCTCCCTGTGGGAACCTCCTGCTTCCATCTACCCCCATCCCCATTCCCACCTCCAACTCAAAGGCTTCAGCAAACCCTGAAGCCCTTCTTCCCCACCCCTCTCCGACCTTCCCTCATCTCACCCTTCCCCATCAGATCACCTGCTGTGGCTGCATCTGTGGAATTGGCCGTGGAGCTGGCAGATGACGGAGAGCCAGTGGACCGTGCCAGGGCTGTGCCTTCACCAGCCCCTCGTTCAGGTTTTATCCTGCTGTGTGGCTTGCCCCGCCTCCGGGAGAGGGGTTTATAGTCCGAGTGGGCGGGGTCAGCGACAGAGTTGAGGCTTACAGGGGAGTGGGTGGGGCCAAAGTTTTGTGGCCTCTAGTAGTGATACTGCCTCGGAAACCCAAGGAGGGGTCGCTATGAGTCAGGGCTGACTCGACGGCACATAACAACAACAACAACAACAACCCCTCAGGGCACTTGACTGCTAACCACAAGGCTGGTGGTTCAAACCCACCAGCCACTCCTAGGAAGGAAGGTTGGGCAATCTACTTCCGTAGCGATACTGCCTTGGCAGCCCAAGGAGGGGTCGCTATGAGTCGGGTCTGACGCGAAGGCACATAACAACAGCAACCCCTCAGGGCTTGACAAAGGAAACTGTTCACAACCTCTGGCTACCCTTGTCCAAAATCCTGTATTTCATTAAAATCTTCCCAAAGCTGCTTCTAGAAAGCCAAATCAATCTCTCCTGCTGTCCCACACTCCCTGGAGCCCTCACTGCCCTGCCCTGGTCCCGGCCTCTTCATGGGTAACTTGAGGCCTGGACCATGACAGAGGGCTGTGCCGGTGAGGCTGGACAGGATGGGAGAGGGTGATGTCCGGCAGCAGGGAAGCTGGAGCTGCCCACCCCCAGCAGGGCTCGGGACAGATGTTGCCACCAGATGGCCTTCGCGCCTGCTTCTGCCTGCATCTAATGCTTTTTCCCTGACCCCTCAAAAGTCCAGTAGAATTAAAATTGGAGATACTGGATAGAGTGGGAGGGAAAATGTGAAACAGAATTTAAAAACATAAAAAGGACCAGGTGTTTACTGGTTGGATAGAGACTAGTGAAACCCACCCCCCTACCCCCCCCCACAATGGCCCCCAGACACCTTTCAGCCCTGGATCTGAACTCCCTCCCAAGGCTTAACTCTCAGCCAAACGTAGACAGGCCTACGAGCTGAACACCTACACTACAGAGATGCACTTAGAAGAGTCGGCCAATGGCGATCAGAAAGGCAGCATTTGCACTGGGAGAGAGATAGAAAGGGCAGGAATGCATAGGTAAGGAGGACACCGGAAGTGGGAGGAGAGCTGCAGAGAATGTAACCAGTGTCACAAAACAAAATGTGTATGAACTGGTGAATGTAAAATGAGTCTGCTTTGTAAAACTTCACCCAAATCACAATAAAAAGGTTTTTTTTTTTAAAAAAAAAAAAAGCCCAGGTAGGGACATTCCCGTGAAGGTTCCACAGGTGCAACTGAGAGTTTTTAGGAAAGGTATGTGTGTACAGTGTCTGTTCTTGGAAGTAGCCTGAGACACCTAAGAGAAGGAGTGCATTTGAATTTCATTTCCTGTCCTCCCTTTTCTTCTAACCTGCTCCCCACCCAAGACGAAAGACAGAGATCTCAAAGAATGAAAGGAGTGGGTTTGTGGGGAGCACAGTGACCAGTTCCCCAAGGGTTCAGGAGTCTAAGCTACCTGGATTTCAGACTCAGGATGGGCAGCAAAGCCAAGCCAAAGTCCTTCCACTTCCTGCCTTTCTCTCTCCAACTAGTCCCTAGTCAGCTGGGGGTGGGGGGGGCGGTTTGAACTCCTGGTCATCAGAGGAGTTAAAGCTGCTGTTTAGCTGCAGGAGGAGGGCTGACTCGGAGGGTCCTCACCCTGCTTTTCCGGTTAATGAGCAGGGCTGAGCCACATGGGCTGGGCACACAGGCCATTCTCTGTACCCCCTCTCCCAGCCCATTGTGACAGCTTCCTCTCCCTTATCCAGGCTGTCCACCCCAGTCAGGACACCAATCTTAAACTCAGGACCAAAGAACCTTTATTGAGGTGGGAGGAGGGAACTCCAGAGGGCCCGGCTGTGTGGGCTCAGGCTCCTACTTGTGTCCAGGATCCGGGCAGCCCAGCCAGTACTTGGCAATGGAGCGTGGGTAGGGAGGGTTCACAGTGTCCACTTGCCGCGTGCGAAGGTTGACTCGGTAGTACTTGTCTGGAAGAGAAGATGAGGGAGGGTGTTGGAGCCCTAGTCTTGCCCACTCCTGCCCTAAGAAAGAAGATCTAGGTCTCTCCTGGAAGGGTAAGTAAAGACCCATGATGCAGCTGAAGACTTGGCGCCTGGCTTTTTGGGATCACCACCCTTGGGCTAGACCAGCTACAGGGAAGCAGGGGCTCCCACCTCCTGAGAAGAAATAGACACTCTGGATGGGCTCGCAGGAGGCCGGTACCAGCCAGTCTATGTCGTAGTCATAAGTTCCCAGCCCGCTTTCCTCACTGGAGAACCAAGACAGCCAGACTGAGCGGGATGGCCGGCGTGACTTCTGGCTACGGCCACGACCACGAGACCTGTAGCGTTTGCGATTGCGACGTGCAGACTTGTGCTTTTTGGCCCACGAAGAGTGGGGGGCGGAGCCTGAGATATAGATGCGGCCTGCCATGGCAGCATCCACCTGCTCTGGCACACCAGGCCAGTCCTGGCTGATGAACTTGGTCTCGCTGGCACCACCTGTGGCAGGGAAGTGGTTAATTGGGAGCCGGAGCTTTGCCTCCTCCAGTTGAGCCTTTCAAGCTCATATGGTGCTCAAAGAAGGGATATGCCTTGCCCAAGAACACAGACAGCTACTAGCAGACCCCAGCACCCTGGCCTCTGACTCCCAGTCCAGTGCTCTTCATATCCCTGGGTGTCTCCTCCTACCCCCCAGGCCTTCCTAGTCCCTTCAGCCACAGGCCCTCCCTCTGCTGTTTGTGTTCATGGTTGTGCTTGGCAAAGTCCAAGATAGGGCTCCAGGCTGAGCAAGCCACCCCTTCCCAAAGGTCAGCAGAAGCAAAGTCTGGGCTGAGCAAACAGCTCCTGATCAATAGCTCCACGACTGCAGCCCTCAGCCCAGCCCTCCCCTACCCAGGAGACCCCACCCCTCTCAAAGGGTTAGCAAGACTTGCCCTCTCTCCTTACCAGAGGATCTGCCCCAGAAGAGAAGCTCAAAGATGTTCTCCCAGCTATCCCGTTGCATTAGGGCAAAGTGTGCAAACACAGCCGACAGAGAGCTGCCTTCACACTCCTCCTGAGTTGGCTGCTGCTGGAACTCATACTCCCAGTACTGTTTCCCTGCGGAGTAGTGCAGCTGGCATCAGGAGGGTGGTATGAGCTCCTGGTGTGTGTGTGGGGGGGTGGGGGGCATAACTGGAGGCCTGTCCCAGTGAAGTGTGAAGGGAGACAAAGACTCCTGCATGGCCTGATCATTCTCCCACCCACCCCCTGAGTACCCTTGAAGAAGTAGACCCGCTCCTGGCCATTGTAGCTATGGGCAGGGAGGGCCAAGGCTGCGTCCACATTGTCCGGGATGCCCTTGAAGCCATCAGAGATGTTGCGAGGGAAATCAGGATCCAGGACACCATCCTCAAAACGCCAGTACTGGCTACCCTAGGGGGTGGGGAAGGTGGAAGGGGTGAGGAGGCGGTTGGCTGGTCACAGGGCAGAGCCCCCAACATCAAGACAGCTACCTTAATCTCTAGGCTTGTTACCCCAGACCAGGAGCCTTGAACTGACCTGTCCTTACAGAGCCCCAGCCAGGTACCCACAAGATTCCAGATCTAACCAGCCTTCCTTCCCACCCTGGCCCTGGGCACAGCAGCTTTCAACCCTTCCCTAGAAGCCTTCTCCATTGACGCACAGCCCCTGGGCCTGGCACCTTGAAAAGATAGGTCTTCCCCTGACAGTTGATGCGAGTGAAGGCGGCATCAATGGGGCCCTCGATGCCCCAGACATCTCGGATGAGCTTGGGGTACCCAGGCATCACTGCCTTTTCATCCAGCTCATAGCAGTACAGACCTGGAGTTGGGGAAATTCTGTGAGGGAAGGGATGCTCCTGGGGCAGACCCCCACCCCCGAAACCTGCCCTTGGAATCACCTCGGAAGGCAAAGAGGGAGCCATTCTTGAGGTCGGTGAAGGCATCAAAAGGCATGTCACTGCACAGCTTCTCCTCTGCCAGGGTCTCGGAGTTCCCTGTCCCCGGCCCTAGACTCACCGCCTCAGATGTTAGGGTTCCCTCAGGCCCTGGGGTCAACCTTTCATTCTCAGGGTTCGGAACAGGATTCTGTGTGGTGCTGAGCTGGTCGGAGCTCTGCGTGGGGCTCTCTGTCTGTGCATGGAGGCTGGCGTTGGCTGTGGTCTCCTCATTGTAGTCAAAGCTTCCATATTCATCTTCAGGCAGCATGAATACATCCCCACGAGTCACTGCAGGTAGAGAGAGTGGTGTGAGTCTCGAGCTGCAGCAGGGACTCCAGACCCCCCCCCCACCCCATGGCTCTGGACACACCTTGGGGCTTGCACTCAGCCACGTAGTCAGCGCAGCAGCTTTGGTAGTAAGAGCAGAGCTCATCACACTGACACTTCCTGTCAGCGTTGAAACCCTCAGTGCAGCGGTCCTTGCACGACTCTGTGGGGAGGGGGTGTCAGTTGGCAAGGCCAAGCCTGGGTCACCCTTGCCCACCCCACATTGGCCCAGATGGCCACCAACATCCTCCTGCACCTTGGTCAGCCAGAACAGCCCATGCCAGCAGGGCCAGCATCAGAAGGGGTCTGGGAGGTGCCATAGCAAGGCCTCTGGTCATGGGCCTGGTGAGCTACGCTCTGAGCTCCCTGAAGTCTCAGCTCAGATGCCAGAGAAAGGGAGGGAGGGGAGGAGACTAGCAGAGAGGGGAGGAAGGAGGAGGAACTAACCGAAAAAGGAGCTGCCCTCTCTGTCGCTCTATTTGCTCAACCTCTAGCCCAGCCCCTGGTACCCTGACCCCTAGGCTGCTGCAAAGGGTCACATTCCTGGAACCCTGGGCCTGGGAGTGCTGGGAAATGAGATCCTCGCCAAGCTCAGGATCATTTCAGGAGGGTCTGGAGATTAGAAAGACTCATTCTGTCACTTATTGGCTATGTGACCTTGGTCAAGTTGCTCTACCTCTCTGAGCCTTGGCTTTCTTTTCAGTAAATGGGACAAATAATACTTGTCTTAAAGGAGATGAAATGACCTAGAGCAAAATGTCCAGTGCCTGGATTAGCACCACATTCATTCTCCGTAAATAGTTACTGATCCATGATTTGTTTGATCATGCATATCCCCGGCTGGGTGACTCACCCAATGACTGTTTTGTATATTTAGGGCAGTGACGGGGGTGGGAGAAGAGATGGTAAACACTCTGGGGAACTTTTTTTTTTTTTTTTTAATCACAAAAGAACAAAATTTCATTTCTTGGTTCTTCTCTTGGATAGGTTGATTTTCCCAAGCTGGTGGTCTTCACAGCACAGGGATATCATTATAATGGATGAATATTAGCCCTTTGGATTTTAATTGAGAGATAGGTATAAAAGGGCCTTGAGAGTTGTACAGAGTCATGATTATGTTTGCTCTTAACCACTAGTAAAGGAGCTCTGGTGGCACAGTGGTTACCATTCAGCTGCTAACCTAAAGGTCAGTGGTTCAAACCCACCAGCCGCTCCGTGGAAGAAAGATGACGCAGTCTGCTTCTTGAAAGATTTACAGCCTTGGAAACCCTATAGGGTAGTTCTCCTCTATCCTGTAGGGTTGTTATGAATTGTAATTGACTTGATGGCCGTGGGTTTTGATTTAACCACTGGTAGAAGTCCCTGGATGACACAGATGGTTAAGGACTCAACTACTAACTAAAAGGTTGGCAGTTCAAATCTACCTAAAGGTGCCTTGGGCAACAGGCCCAGTGATCTACTTCCATAAGGTCCCTGCCTTGAAAGGCCTTGGAACACAGATTCCACTCGGAACAGGTTTGGGTTTTGTTAAAGACTAGTGAAGGAAGAGGTGCCTCAGTGGCACAAGCAGTTTGCGATCAGCTGCTAACCTGAAGTTGTCAGTTCGAACCCACCCAGTGCCTCTGTAGAAGAAAGGCCTGGCAAACTGCTTCCTTAAAGATTACCCCAAAAACCAAAACCCATTGCCATCAAATGTGTTCTGACTCACGAGTTAATAGAGTCACAGGGTTTTCTTGGCTGTAACCTTTACAGAAGCTGTTTGGCAGGTCGTTCCTCCGCGTTGGGTGGGTTTGAATCGCCAACTTTAGCTTAGCAGCTGATTGCAAACCGCTTGTGCCACCCTTAAAGCAGTCCTATTCTGAAACACACAGGGTCATCAGGAGTCCGAGGCCACTCCAGGGCACCTAACAACAAGGAAAGAGGCATTCTTGGCGGAGTTGTCCCCACGTTTCAGCGGCTGGGGGAAACCAGGCAATCCTCTCCCTCTCAGCCCCACCCCCGCATCCCGCAAGGGAGGCGCAGACGCGGTGGAGGAAGGCGGTTACCAGGGAGTAGGCGTGGCTGGTCGGGCTGAGGAGGAGGAGCCTTGCGAATCGAGAGACAGGGCTTCGGCCCTGGTCCGCAGCTTCTCAGGGGCGGGGCTGCTGCAGAGCAACTCTCAGCCTAGTGGAGCCCGAGCCCGAGCCCGAGCGGCGCTTTGTTCTGGCCGCAGCTTCCTCAGCCCTCCAGGGTCTGGATCCATCCCTTGTCTCCTCGCTGCCTTCTCCGGCTCAACCCCTTCTTTCGGGCCTGCATCCCCTTTCCCAACCCCTCCGCCCCGAGCCTGCGCGCACCCTTCCCCTAAACATCTGGCCAGCGCCTTTGCCCGGTACCCTTCTATCCATCCTTCGCCCCTGCTTCTTCCTCTCGGTCTGCTCTCCAGTTCCTCTTCCCCCGAGGTCCCGGGTCGCCCCATCCGACCCCGCCCCTCCAGACTGGGGATGTCCCCCGCAGCCCCGCGCCCATGGTCTTGACGCTGCTTTTCTCCGCCTACAAGCTGTGCCGTTTCTTCGCCATGTCGGGCCCACGGCCAGGAGCCGAGCGGCTGGCGGTGCCGGGGCCGGATGGGGGCGGCGGCGTGGGCCCGTGGTGGGCTGCGGGCTGCCGCGGGCCCCGCGAGGTATCGCCCGGGGTGGGCGCTGAGGTGCAGAGCGCCCTGGAGCGCGCGCTGCCCGAGCTGCAGCAGGCGCTGTCCGCGCTGAAGCAGGCGGGCGGCGGGAGGGCGGTGGGCGAAGGCCTGGCCGAAGTCTTCCAGCTGGTGGAGGAGGCCTGGCTGCTGCCGGCCGTGGGCCGCGAGGTGGCCCAGGGTCTGTGCGATGCCATCCGCCTGGACGGCGGCCTCGATCTGCTGCTGAAGCTACTGCAGGCGTCGGAGCTGGAAACGCGCGTTCAGGCCGCGCGTCTGCTGGAGCAGATCCTGGTGGCCGAGAACCGGTGAGGACGTTGGGCTGGGGACAGCGCCGCGCGGTGGAGGAGCAGCAAGGGCAGTCGGGCGCCTGGGTCTCCCTTTTGCCTCGCACTGTTCTTTTATTCTGCCTTACCTTACCATAGTCCCGCACGCTAGAGATCAACGTGCCCATTTTACAGATGGAGCTCTGGTAGCGCAGTGCTGGCGGTTCAACCTACCAGCCACTCCTTGGAAGGAAGGTTGGCTAATCTACTTCCGTAGTCACACTGTCTCGGAAACCCAAGGAGGGGTCGCTATGAGTCGTGTCCGACTCAACAGCATTTAACAACAACAGCAATTTTACAGATGAGAAAACTGAGGCTTGAAGGTTGAGTGATTTGCTTAGCATCACAGAGTGAACTAATGGTTCTGCCAGGATTCACCCCCAGAGCTAGTGAGCTGGGAGCTGGGGACAGGAGGAGGAAGACTGGAGTTAAGTCCCTACCTGTCTCAAGTCCTATGGATGGAGAGGGCACTCTACTGGCAATGTCCCTCTAAACCCACTGACGTGCTCTACATGGGCCTGGGTGCCCTTCTGTGCTTCCTTCTCTTCTCCCATGCCCATAGCACCCCCACTGGGAGGGGACAGAAACACAATCTTAGATGGGTGGGTGGGGGAAGACCCTCCCCTCTGCCCTGTCTGCAGGCTGAACTGAGTACTGGCCTTAAATCACATCACCTCCAATCCACCTCCTGCTTCCTCCTTCATTCTAGTACACGTCACAGACCAGACATGATCTCATTCTGTGGCTGCTGATGGGAAACAGAAAGTTTTCTGCTGGGATGAGTGAGTGGGGGAAAAGGAAACTGAAGCACAGAGCTAGGCTCACCAAAACAGTGTGTTTTCTCCTCTTTCCCTACCAAGTGCCAAGACACAGTACTAAAACCAAGCCAGCGCCATTGAGTCAACCTCAACTTCTGGCAACCCCATGTATGGCAGAACAGAATGATACAGAGTTTCTAATGTTGGTTTTTAAGAGGGAGACCACCAGGCCTTTCTTCTGAGGCACCTCTTGGTGGACTCCAACCTTTTTCATCAGCAGAGTGTTAACAGCGCCTCCCAGGGAGGTGAGGTCAAACTGATGTCTGCTTGCCACTCTCCTGACTGCCTCTTGGGATCACCCATGGAGTACAAAGACCCGTGAGGAGTCACTTTTCCTCCCTTTGGTGCCAGGGCAGACCAGGCTGTCATGTTCCAGTTTCACAATGAATTCTTGGGTCCTTCAGGCTAGAAGGGTTTTAGCTCATACAGTTCCCATGCTGCATGATGAAATGAGAGTCAGGGAGGGATACAGTTTCTTGCGTTTTCAAAATGAAAATAACCTTATGATTGGCAGAAATGGTACAAGTTCAAAACTACATAAATGAAGAAATTAGGAATCTGCTTCTCATTAACCTCCTATTTAATATTCAGTGCTGTGAATTTGGAGGACTACCAACTGGAGTGGGTGCTCACTGGGTACAGCTGGACCCAGGTTGGGGGGGTGTGCCCTGTGGGTTTGGTCCTTTGGGGGCAGAGCTATGATTAGAACATCTGGGTAGAGGACACAGCCAGCACCATAGAAAGACAAGGGCTACAAGATGCAAACAGAACTGATATTTTTCTTTTTTTATAAAATTTTTATTGTTATTTGAGTGAAAGTTTACAGAGCAAATTCATTTTCCATTCAGCAGTTCATACACATTTTGTTTCATGACACTGACAGCAGTTCCCCCCAATGTAACAGCTCTCTGCCCACTTCTTCCCTGTAGTTATCTCTTCCCTGTGTCCTTCCCTCCCATGCACTCCTGCACCTCCCCTAGCTGTCTCCTTGTGCAAACACTGCCCTTGTTTTCCCATGACTGATTGCTCCAAGGACTATATCTACCTGATGTAAACCTTCACCCCATACACCTGTCTATTGTTTGGCTGGAAGCCACAGGAGTGAGTTCACAGAACTAGTATTTTTCAAGTAGAAAATAACAATCCTCACCTAATTAATAATTACGAATTAGTATCCCCATCCCAGGAGCTCTGGTGGCATAGTGGTTACAAGCATTCAGCTGCTAATCAAAAGGTCAATGGTTTGAGCCCACCAGCCACTCTGCAGAAGAACCATGAGGCACTCAGCTTCTGTAAAGATTTACAGTCTTGGAAACCCTATGGGACACTTCTACTCTATTCTAAAGGGTTGCTATGAGTTGGAATAGACTTAGTAACAAGAGGTTTGGTTTGGTTTTTAATCCCTGCCCCAAGAAACAATGTGCTATTGCCTGTTGTTTCAGGACCGAGGACAGAGATCAAAATCCTTCCAAAGAAAGCAATGTCAGAAGGGGAGTGGGAAAGGAGAGGGTGGCTAGGGGGCTGCGCACTGAGAACTTATGTTTATGAAACCTGTTCCGTCCTCTTAAAAAAGATTCTTCCTTCAGTGTGTCCAGCATCTTTTTACCATTTCACCATTTCATGACCTGCAGCTCTCTTCTTCTCCAGGTGCTCTGCACCCTCAGCCCAGAAATCAAGGTCACAGTTGCCCTGACCTGCAAAACCATGAGAAGTCCAACAGGGTACAGTCCTCCAGATCTGGCCCTGAAACTCTAAGTTAGGACCCTGCCTGACTGCTAGCCCTCTCAATTCATAGCCCATCCCCATCAGGGGACCATAATGAATATATAGTCTCAGAGAGGTTAAATGGTTTTCCAAAGAATACACAATGAATAAGCAGAGAAGACAAGATTCAAAACACTAGGAAACTATCACACATAAAGTCAAGTACAAAAAGACTTACAGTGAGGTCTTTTTCCCCCTACACCCTTTTGCTGGAGGCAAATCACTGTTTCAAGTTTCTTCTGTGCCCTTCTAGAGAGAGTCTTTGCACATACGAGCATTTGCATATAAATGTATATGATATATGCATGTTTGTACCTATATAAAGAGTCTATGGGTAGCACAAATGGTTTAGTGTGCAGCTACTAACCAAAAGGCACCTCTGAAGAAAGGCCTGGTGATTTGTTTCATATCCTTGAAAACCCTATGGAGCACAGTTCTACTGCAGCAAACGCAGGACTGACGTAAGTTGGAACAGACTTGACAGCAACCGATTTGGACTTTTTTGGTACATATGTACAATTTTCCCTCCTTTGGAGCAGGGATTTGAACCCAGGTCTGTGTGACTCCAAAGTATGTCCCTATTTCACCAGGCTCACAGCCTCTCGGGCTGCAGCAGAAGTAAAAGCTAAAGTCAACAGTGCTCAGAGCAAGCACACAGTTCAACTCTGGAGGTGCCAGGTGCATAGAGAAAGCCAAAGGCTACAGAAGGAGGCAAGAGCCTCAGAATGAAGTCCTAGCTCTGAACTGATGTTCCTGAGCAAGCCTTTCCTTTTACCAGGCCTCAGCTAAGCCTTCTGAAAATGAGGGTGTTGGATTTGCTGATTTCTCAAGCACATTCAGGCTGTGACATTCTAGGAATTTATGTAACCAAATTGTTTTGGAATTAAAAAATGCAGAAGAAGGATGTTGGGTCCTGGAGACCTGGGTTCGAATCCCAGCTGTGCCTCCCACCAGCTGTGTGTTCCCAGGCAAGTCACATAAGCACTTTGAGCTTCAGTGTTGTCATTTGTCAAAGGAACAACTGCCAGTCTGGCTGCCCAAGAGGGTCAGAACTTGAGCAGATTAGTGTGCCTCTGTTCCTTTGAGATAGGCTACAGAGCAGCTGAATGATTAAGTCAGCAAACCAGCCCTGGTTTTGCGGTATGTTCTGTGCTCACCTGGGCCCTGAAGTAGACCCAAAGTCACAGGCACTGTTGGCATGGCAGTGCCAACTGGACTCTGTGAGGACTTATGTGAGGACTTATGTGAGGACTCTGTGGCTGGCTGGGCCTCTAAGTCTCTGGGCTGGCCTCACCTGTGGAGGACATCATTTGTGGAGGTCAGAGAGACAGAAAACCTTCACCTCTGCTCAGAGGTTGGCTCTGTTGGTCTCCAAGCTCTCTCCCTTTAGCCTATCCTTCCCCTAGTAGCCAGAATGTGTGTCCAATAACCCATCTGTAACCAGGTCACTCCTCTTCCCAAAACCTTTCAATGATTCTCTATTTGCCGTCAAGGTCATGTAATGCTTTAAAGTGGCTCAAAAGGCTGCCAGGATTGATCTCCTCTTTCCCCAGTCTCCCCTTGAGGCCTCCACCTCAGCCACACCAAAGAATCGGCAGTTTCCCAAAGGCACCAGCTCTCAGACACCTCCAAGCCTTTGCATACATCTATGTCTGGAATACCACCTCGCCTTCTCTTCCCAACTAATTCTCCTGCCATCTTTCTGAACTAACCCAGTAGGCAACCAACCATTCCAATGTATAATGTACAGCTTTTCATTTGTGTTCTTACAAAATCTTTATTTTGTGTGTATGTGTATGTGTTTAATTTATATAAGTGGTCCTGTGTTATGCATGCATTCTGTTTCTCACTTTTTTCCCATTCATGGTTATGTTTATAAGGTCCTTCATGTTATCATCTACTCAGTCACTCGTAACTGTTCCATAATCCTCTACGGTGGACACCTGCCATGTCACTGCTCCACTCTCCCAGGGTGCCTCTAACTTTCCCACATCATAGATAACATAGATAACACTGTAGTGAACATCCTTGTCCACTTCCCCTTGTGGAACTGTGTGAGAATCTCTTTGGGACATAAATACGAGAGCCCCAATTCCTAGCCCATAGGATGTGTGTATCCTTAATTTCACCGACTAGTCCCAGCCTTTTTCCAGATTGATGACCCCAGACTGCACCTCCCCCTGCCATGGCTCAAAGTGGCCACACCTCCTCAACCCTGACTATTATCCAGCTTCTATTTCGTGCCACTCTAATAAGTGTAAAGTGATAGCTGTTGTTTTAATTTTCATTTCTCTGATTACTAATGAGTTAGAGCCTCTCTTTGCTTGTTAAGATTTTGTATTCCTCATTTGTAAATTGTTTATGTCCTTTGCCCATTTTCTATTGCATGTACTGCCTTTTTCTTGATAATTTGATTATCTGTATATTCTACATCGTTAGTAACCCCTTGTTGACTTTATTGTTTTTTTTTGTTGGTTTCAGACATTGCAAATATACCCAGACTTTTTTCTTTTCCTCAAAGAAGCCAAGCTCATCAACCCTCAGGGCCTTTGTTTGGCCTGGCTGTTCTCTCTGCCTGTCCCAGATACTTGCAGGCAGGGGTCTCTCTTGACAGTTAGCTCTCAGATGCCACCTCCTCAGACACATCCTTCCACCCAAGCACTCTCCTTTACATGACAAAAGTTTGCTGTCTTCATGACCATAACACTATTTGGTTCATTTCATCCTTTACTTGCTTATCATCTGAGTATAAATCCCAGGCAGCTGTAGTCACTATTTAACCCCAGCCCATAAAGCAGTGCCTGGCATACAGTAGGTCTTCAGTAAACATCTGCTGAATGAATGAATACCTCTGAGTCATAGAGCATGGAGTGAGGAAAAGCTTCAAGTGATGTTGCGGAGTTAACGTTTATTGAATCTTTACTATATGCCATATATATTATATAGTAAGGACTGAATAAATGTTAACTATATACCATATATATATATATATAAAGACTCAATAAACATTAACTGTATATGTATAT